CCAATTATCTTGAGAGGGGTGCGTACGGTGCTCACTGAACCTGCGCTTAGGACCCCCTACCCGGTAAACGATCAAATACGAGTCCATCTCCCCCAACATCTCCAAGTATACGTCACCGATGGAGGGGTTCTCCATCGGTGACGTATACTGAACGGAGCGGCATAGTAAAGTGACATGCGGACTCTAACTTTTGGATGAGAAGGGAGAGTGGGGGGGGGAGCGGTAATCAGACCCCAAGCTAGGCCTTTATTGCAAGTGAATGGAAGATCTAGAAGCAAAGTGCCAACGCGACGACACCCTACAAATGAATGAAAAACAGCATGAGGCTGAATCACCCGCGCTAAATGAATCACCACTTTGCTCAACTCTTAGCCAGTAACTATCTCATCTCGAAAAAAAACCAAAAAACCGAGTTGGAGATTACACAGAATGGCCACTGTCTTGCTATATCCCATGGATAAAGCCCTCAAAAACTGGAAAGACTGCCAACAGAGTGTTTAGGAGTGCCAACAACACTGTTTAGGGAGCTGCCAACAGGCCTCGATCATCTGTCTTTTTTTCAGCGTACTGTTAGAGAGACCGATTCGGCAGACATCTACCTTTTTTCCTGCCAAGTTCGGCTTGGAGCGTCACCATCGTTTGGTGGGGACATTTTGTTGGCACTTATTGATCAGTTGAAAGGCCTGTGATTCCTGTAAAGCTATGCAATAGCAGTAGCTTTGTTTACATTTCACGAGAGTGTACAGGTTTCATCAAGGTGTGACTTGTAATTGAAGGGGAACTAACAGAAGGAATAAGCGAATATGTAAAATGCCTTTCCTAAGCCGAACAGTACCCATTTTCCAATCAAAGGTTCCACGTAGGATCATTACCACATAAAAAGACTTCTAAACTTGGTAATAATGGCGATGGTTCTGGAGAAAATGGAAGCTATTTGGCATTGAGTTGTGTAACAAAACGCCTCAAACGGCTGAAAGAAAACAAATGCCCAGATAGAAATCGGTGAAGGACGATTATAAGCCATAACAAAGTTTCTGACGAAAATGGTAACCCTTGTGGCACGTAAAATGATAAACATATGAGAGGAGCAGCATAAAAACAGAAAATTAAATCACATGTAATAGTATGCAATACAAAAGATGTATCAACAGTGGTGACTAAATTGCAATGAGAGAGAGAATTTCGTCCGCCAGCGGATAAGTGGGCGGATCGGCACTGTACAGACACGAGAGCACGAGAAGGATAAACAAGAAGCTGATGAGGAAGAACGGGGGAAATCGCGGGATTTGTGAAAGGTGATGCCGATCGGGGCGCACCTGGGTCGAGTCGGACCCAGTGGACCCAGTTGATACCTAGGCACCTTTTATGGTTGGAGGAAAATTTTGCAAAATAAGAAGCAGTTCCTCATCCCCTCCCATGTTACTGGATTTTCTGGACACCCTCCACTTTTTCTCCTTCTCGAAATTTCCTTTTTCTCAAGACTTCCTCGTGATTTCCCAAGGAAAATCATCCTCGAGGAGGAGGATGTTATAGCGCACTTGAATCGGAAAAAAACCGAAAAAAGTAATAAACCGAACAGTTTCTCTCATAAGCAGGAACGACCCCTCAGTCGCACCAAGTACGTCCTCGCTGGAGATCCTCAATGTACGTTGTGCCTTGTTAGAAAACCAGATTCCGATAGGGAAAATTACCTACCTCATGAGCGAAGCTTCTCTCCTGGTTTAATTGGTGGAAACTGCAGGTAAAAATGAACAAAATGTGAAAGCTCGGTGTTGATCAGTCGGCTTGGAACACATTTCACCTCCATTCGGAATGCAGCTGGAAATGAAATGTTCATTGGGTATCAGGAGGACTAGCCGAAATGTCATACCCCTCCTTGCCCTCAAAGGAATGTTCTTTAGCCCCGTCGGTGGCCCTCTGCTATGAATGGGCGTGGTTACTATTCTGGAACCTTCGGGAAAGAATAGCGAGCATATAGTAGCATAGCTCATGTAGAAAATATATGTAATAGCTTTGAGTAAGAGCGTAGGCAAAGCATACGACCCCAGAATGACCTGTAGCGGCCAAAAGACGTTCAGAACTATCCTAATGCTGATGTGTCAAACGGCGTGAGTGTCAGCTGTCGCACTGCTATTGTGGCGCTACTAGCGTCGTTTTGGTTGGAGATGACCTCATAATTACTACTTCACGTAAGCATACCTGCCTGTGGGATGTGACCACACTGTGTTGGCTGCTCCAACTGCTGACTTCTCACCGGTAGATAGAATGTTTAGAACTGAGTCAACGATAGGTAGCTTTTAAGTATAGACTTTAACAAGAAAAATAAGCTGTGAGCGAACTGAGAAGAAGAATGGGTCATGGTCACATACTGGCCATGAAGCAATGCTCTTCCAGCGAGCTTACAGCATGGCATTGAGGCATTAATCAACTAAGCAGAACTCACCGCCAGTTCAGAACGTCTTATTTGTACAGAAATACACTGAGAAATTTTCTATAGGGTACTGCTGTAGCCGTGACCAAGATGATATAACAGTTTTATTGGCTAACGTTTCGGCCTTATCGCCTTCGTCAGAGCCTGGAAAAAAGTCAAAAATCAAAGTGAAACTACCCTCGGAAATCATTTCAAACCTCAGATAAGCTAGTCCCAGACCAGAAGGATCCAGAAACCTGTCATAGGTCACAACCACAAAACGACTCACCTTAAATGTACGGCCGGTTTTTGCTTGAGACCACCGCTAAACTGACTCCCCGTGGGTGGCTTCAGCTGACCTGGCCCCTCGACTCGAAGCCGATGGCAATTGAAGCCCACACAGGTCAGCAAACGGGGCGAGCTCGTTTGTGATGGTCAGGCATTCGTCCTTTCTGTTCATTTTGGGATTTTTAGCGCTAATCCAAAACGCTTCCAAAGTTTTGTGCGCCGAAGTCTGTGGTTCTCGCATCAAAACCTGCCGTGAGCCAGTCAGTGTGCTTCTCTCCCTCCGGAAGGAGAGATCCACCGGGCACCCGCTCTGCCGCCATGATGCCGGACGGTTGCAGGGTGCTTGCACTCTGCACAGCAGTGTGGTCGGGCACACTTCTCCGTCTGGCGCCGCCCGTGCCTGCTATGACCCGAGGGCACGGCCGGCTGCGGGTTGCAGCTTGTAGCCGCAGAGCGCCATTTACCGCTAGGATTACCGCTGGACAGATGGAAGATGGATGGTCAATCCAGCTACGGCAGGATATAAGGACAGTTGGAAGATGGTTACCGCTAACACGTGAGTCAATAAATATGAAGTTTATTTGTTGTAATGTTGTAATAGGTGGGACTTGGGAGCGACCGGGCAGGTGGGCCCGTAAGGTGCTGATAAAGCTTGGGAGGTTTTGGTCGGGTAAAGGTATAAGTTGTTGGGCTGTTACATTTCTGTTGGTATTTCTCTGCTTGGTTACTGCATGCCTCAGATGGTAAAGTAGGCATGCCTTTAGACCGGTTACGGCAGGCTGTAACAGTGGTAGGGCCGGCCGACCCGGGGGTCCAGGACGGACATGGGGAGGTCGGACCCCCACGGGGACATGCCTGTTCATGGGCTGCCGTCCCCTGCAGCCTGTCACGGGCTTAGGCCCGGGTGGTCCCCGGGGAACCGAGGCTATATCGTGCGGGAAAGCGATATAGTCCCCGGGGAACTGTGAGACTGAGGTGGGCTGATGGTGTGTAAGCGGACCCTTGAACACCGATGCTCGTCGTGGGAGAGGACTAGTAGGGCGGTCTCTCTCTGAACTGCGACAGAAAGGGCATTTTGCACTTGTGCTTCTTTCATATACATAGATATCTGTGAAACCGCGAAATAGTACCAGCCACCTGTCAATTCTTGTAAAAGAGTCCTCTTGTACACTTATGATGAAGTTCATTTTGAATGGGATACACTTTGGAATTTGAAAATCTTGGAATTTTGGGCTTTTTTTCAGAGAGTTCATCGAGCTATTTCACGAGATTAGAAGAGTTGACAGGTCTCATCGGTGTGAGCTTGTAAACCGGAGCTAGCGAAGCAGCAGCAAATGTGCCACCCCTCCTCGCCAGACTGCGCCCGTTGGCCTACCAAGTAGCAATCTTGGTTGGCTCGAGCGGACTAGTCTTCCGAATTCATGGCCTTTCAATATGAGACCTTTCTATTCTCCTATATAATACTTTCCAGAACGCCTGCTTCTGTCCTTCGGTTCTCTTGCAGCAGCCTACTCCTTCTGGATTTTACGAAGAGCGCTCACTACTTGTGTGTAAATAACCAGTTATTCGCAGATAGTCGTTCTCGAGACGGTCTGCTTCAGACGCGCGCTTCCGCGACGCGTTTCATAGTCAGAGCATTGGTGCGCATCAAACCGAAGTGCACATAACTAATAAAATACCGTCATTATTACTTAAGTGTCGTTATTACTGGAGTGGATTTTGCCGCGGTGCGAGCCCGTTTTTCATAGATTGTTGCGGCTTCAGGGGGTGCCGCTCAATGGGCTGGCACCACGCCGAAACCCACGAACCCCTTCACGTCTCTTTAGCCCATCGTCTAAGGCATGACAACAGTCTTTTTCGCTGCGGATGAAGGAGCGAGCCAATCAGAATGAGTTTTGCGCTGTGCCAAACCCTTTTTTGCAACAGTTGTTCCCACCAGCAAGCGATAATACCGCATCATATTGCCTCTTACCTGCTTGAGAACGGTTGGGTGCGCGCCAAACTCATCTCGCCTGACACGCCCCCTTCATCTGCAGCGAACAAGACTGTTTCACTTTTTCATAGTGAGAGCAAAACCATACGCAATGCATTTTTTAGGACGACTTCGTACCATTCAATATACCCATGCCTATATTTGATTATATTTATTAATAAATGTCATCAGCACAATACAGAACACCAATAGATGCCGAATAACAAAGCGATGCATCTAGCGACGCGTCCCGGGCCAGAAGGACACGATAACTATGAAAGCGGGTGCTCTCTCTTATCACGCTAATCACAGACATTTTTACATACACAATTCCAGAGTTATAAACAATAGTGAGCCACGATGAGTAAAACAGTGAAATTCCTGGTTAACAGTGCTGCTTTCGCTTACATTCGTCGTGCAAGGCGTGCAACAGATCCACACAATAAATAAAACAGGAAAGAGTCGAAAATCGGGAAATTATGGAAGGGGTGAAGAGAAGAGAGAGCAACGGGAAGCTTTTGTCGCTCGCTCGTTCATTCCTTTTCTCTTCATTTTTGAATCGATCGACGTTGTGGCAACGCAATAGACGAACCTGAACTACCAAAATTACCACATGCATCGCGGAAAATTTGCGGGAACGGTACCTATACCTATTTCCGATTAGGGGCCACCACCGCTTATACCACTACAGCTCGGCTCCCCGAAATTTGGGAGACGGTTTGGTAGGTCCAAGACAATCGTAATATGCCGCTCGTCGCGCGCGGCAACCGGCTTCGTGCACTGTGGCGTTTCTGTGCACTACCTGGGCATTTACGGCTATTCTTGGTTATGCCTTACCTGTTGTCACCAGCACAACCTAGGAACGCCTTTGCCGAGCTCGACGTCGCATGCAACGCCCGCCGGCGCGGCAAATTACGACTGCCTTGTCACAGTTCTCTCCAGTGGTATAATTCCCCTTCCTTCCACCCACCACCATCCTGAATTTTTCCAGCTTTCTAACTACACTAACTAACAGATACAGTATCCCCGCCCCTTGCCCCCCCCCCATGGGATTATCCGATGATGTTCCCTGCTAGAATTAAGGGTAGGCTGTTTTGTGGTGCTATTTCGCGCATACTATGTATATGGGTCAAAAAGCTTTTATACAAAACCCATGTAGGCGGCACGAATTATCGAACTGCCGGAAGCGTGGTCTCGATGGGGCCCAGTGTGGCCAAAGAGTTACCACTGACTTTCACTGACCGACCACATTACTTAGTGGGGGGAAGGAAAATTTGACACCGCTTCTTCGAAAAAAAAATTCTTTCTCTTGCAACGAAATCAGACCGCTTGCTGATTCTTTGAAAACATCTATAAATAAAAGTGTCTTCCGAAAAATGTGCGCAAAATAAGCGAAAAAACTTCTCACCTTCTATCATAATCATTGCACTGGCGAGATCTTCTCCATAAGTATTACGCACAGTACAGAGGTATTCTCCAACATGTTCATTTTCCAAGAATAATATCGATAACGTTGAATTGTCCGCGCCATCGACGATCGTATAACCGCCGACGCCTTTAAATAACCACAATTTTTGAAGAAAATAAACAGTTGCCACCAAAAATAACTGAACGGTTTTTTGCGAAACTTACCATCCTCCAGTCCAACGTCACCTTTGAACCACCGGCAAACGGCTGGTGGTTGGCCGGTGAAACGAGCCAGCAGCTCCACACGGTGTCCCAGACGAGACTGTACCGACACTGGGGCATGTGTGAACCGTGGCCGCATCGTAGATGAGCTGTAGCATTTTAATTTCTCTAACTTTCTGGAAGTATTCTTGCAAAAAAACCCTTACCCAGTAGGCTCAGAAACAGCCAGTTCAATAGCTGCAGTAGCTTCACCGGCAACATTGACGGCAGTCAAAGAATACTTGCCGGCATCTGTGCGTACTGCATCGTTTACATGAAGTGAAAATATATCACCTTCATTGGAAAGCTGAATATTATACGATTTTGATAGTGTACAATATATTCGATTTACGTGTGAATGTACTCTGTGTACTTACAGTATATTTTACAGAGTTGGTTATTGCTTCTGCTCCTTTTGCCCATGCGACAACTGGATCAGGATGGCCAGTGACACGGGCAGAGAGCTCAGCGCTCTCACCAGGGGCAATTCTAACGATAGCTGGGGCATCACTGATGCGTGGGGGATCTTCAGCAAGAGATCTTTCATGGCCTGAATGAAACAGTGACGTAAACCTCCCACATCGAGCATGAAAAAGACCTTTTTTAAACCTCAAGGACCGCGTTCATAGTTCGCGATACGTGCGATTCCCAGAACGCGCCCTGTGGTAGACCGCTCTTTACCGCTAATCGATGGACAGCTGAAACGGTCCAAATAATTGGAAATGTGATCGGATCAGCAGTTGCATCGGTCCACCGGTTAGCAGTGAAGCGCGCTCGCTCACAGTCGCGCTGCTGCGACATCGCTTATGAGTATGAACGCGGCTGAAGCCGAGACCGAGCCTTGTGCCTTAGGTAGCGTCCAGACTTCGCGATAACGCTCTTCGTCGCGCTATGACGCGCTACCAACAGCGCCCCAACACCATAAAAAGGAACACAGCTATAGGTGAGGGTATCGATCGATGCCGGCCGTTAGTGTTCTGATGGCGAACATGCATTGCCTAATCACTCAGCTTGAAACCATCCTATTTTTCTACACTTCTTCGGAACACCAACGACCGGCTAGAGTGCTACTGCAATGGTAGCGCGTCATAACGTGATGTAACGGTCGACGCGCGCCATCGTGAAGTATAAACGCTGCTTTAGGCCCTATTTTGAATAGAAAACAAAAGGAAAACATGGATGGAAGCCAAAACAGGAAATATGGCAGAAAAAGAAAGAGAAACAACAAAAAAATCACAAAATCGAATCTCATAGAAAGAAATGGCAGACTTACTGTGAATATCAAGTCTCATAATACATCGTGCTGTTCCAAATTGATTTCGTGCTTCTACGGCGTATTCTCCGCCATCTTCAGGGAAAGCATCAGCAATTACTAGACGAACATCTGCACCATTTCGCACGTATTGGAAGGATTCAGAATCCGTGATGATCACTCGATTTCGAATCCAACGGATTTGCAAAGGTTCAGAACCTAAATCAGACGTATTTGGTTCGTGCCGAAAATTCTGATATTGTTCCAGTGAATCAATGATCCTTCAACACTTATAAATCGAAAAACTTCATTTTCATTTTACCTTGTACTAGTTCGGCAACCAGCTCGACACGCTCTCCATCATTTGCTTTTATTATCGACCGAACCTTCTCTGTTCTGAAAATCAAAAAATCTTCTTTTGCAGAAGACCGAGAAGTAAGACATAACAGCTTCGAACAGTAGTATGTGCTCTAGCCAAGTTGTGAATTGCAAAGTAGATATATAAAACAACGGCAAACGTTTGAAACGGAGGAAGTCGATTGCTGTTCAAAGAGAAATACAGAATTTTTCAAGTGGGGCGCCCAGATCTGCTTATCTATGGAGAAAACACCTAATTTGGGCCCTAAGCCACAACAGAAAACAAAACGAGGGTGTTATTAACCTTGGGAGGGGCCGTATTATGTCAACATATAAGCATTGTTGAGTCGTGTTAACTGTACACATGTGAATACCGGACAATCGTGTTTAACCTTGGAAATCCTGTGAATTCTTGTCAAGTACTGCGTAAGCTCCTGTCAAGCTTTTCGAAATGGCACTATCCATAATTATAAAAATTGGCAAGTGTGACAGGAGCTCACAGGGTGACAGGTGGTAGCAAAGCTTTCAAGTGCTGACGAGCTCGTCCAGTATTCACAAGTGGTACAGTTCAGAGAAGTGGATGGGTTGACAAGCGCTTATAGGTGTGCACTCCCCCTGTCCCTGTGAGGTTACTAGTACAGAAAAGAATGCGCTAACCTGAACAATGGCGGGATGCCGTCAGCTGACAACGACTCTCCAGGATCGATTTCAAGACAAACCTGGAAAATAATTCGCTCACGTATCCTTTATAATGATCGTGACCATGTGAAAAAAGCCGTATACATAAAAAATAAAAATAAGTCTCTACTGAACCTGAGCTTTAGTCTCTCCACACTCATTCTTTGCTTCACAAGTGTAGACACCTTCGTCCGCGACTGACACGAAAGCGAACTTCAGAGTCGCACACTCACCATCGTATGACATCACATATCTAGAAAATCACTTCTTCGCAATTAAAATAGCGCTGCGGGGACGGTATGGCCCCATCACTACAAGGCTTCAGGCAATTAAACTTGCCCTTTCGTTTTAGCTAGCACTTGGAACCATCTAGGGATCTCAAAACTCAGAAGCCTTTTCAAATGTTACCTTTCCGTTTGCGGAAGCAGTGGACTGCCATTACGCAACCACCGTATAGCTGGAGCTGGATATCCCGATAAAGAGCATTCGATTGACAATGGCTCGCAAGCGATTGCCTTAATAAGTTGGGCCTCAGCAAAACACACCAACGATAGAAAAAGTCCATTCCGCGAGCACTCACCTTCAACTTCCCTGGCAGTACTTCAATGAAACTCGGTGCTTTCAGCTCTTTCTTCGGCTTCCGCTTTTCTTGCTGCATCGAAGTATCCTCAGTGGTTTTCACCACCTCCACCTTGAAATGGACCTTATCAGGTTAAGCAGATTGTCTACAGTTCAATAAAGGACTACCTCTGATGAGCATGTTGAGATTCCTTCACTGTTGGTAGCAGTGCAGTTGTAAAATCCTTGGTCAAACACAGAAACTTGATGGACCTGAGCGTGCTTCCAATTTATTCCACAAAAAAGATTAATTAACGAAAATAACCTGGCCTGGGGGATTTTAGAACAATAAAAGGATGACCCAGACCCTTAACTGAGACTGGAAACAACACATAGGATTCAGACTTTGCGATGATGGGCGTCGAAGCGCTACAATAGCAAGAAGGCTACCATTCTATAGACGCGAAAGCAGCCGCAGACGGGAATCGATGGGCGCTGGAATCACGCCTGGCATCGATAGCACTCGGTGCAATTGTAGCGCGTCGACGCGCGTCATCGCAAAGTATGAACGTCACCTAAAAAACATAAAGCAACCGGAGAAGCCAACAAGAGCGCAAATGCAGAAAACATATCGACTGCGACAAAGGAGAAGGAAGGGATAACACCACTGACAGGGGCACTGGGCAGGAATGCTAAACTTGGGACTAGATTTTCGCATGACGGGTATTCTGTGCTTCCAACAATTTGGCTAAGGTGCGCTAGGGAAGAAACATTGGAATGATTTCACTCAATGGGCGAGCGGAGTAAGACAAAGTTCTGCAAAAACACCATATAGTCTTGTTCAATGTGGGCGATGTGTCAGCGCAATGGCCTGCTACTCCGTTTTTCCTTTTTTTTTCCTTTCGGCAAGGACAGGACTTTATCATATTGTTCACATCAATCGTTTTCCACCAGTTGTGGTCGCTTACCCTCTTCAGCACCTGACTGGGAACGGTCTGGCAGCGTGCTAAACGCAGCCTGACACGCCCCTTCACGCGCAGCGAACAAGACTGTATCAGTCGACAATGGACACAAGCCCGGCTTTCAGCTGACCGTCTCAAAGAAACTGAAAGGGACCTACCTCCAAGTAGTAGAAGTCTCCATCATTATAGATAGAATATTTATTGCCAGTCTCGAGTATGACACCTTCTCGATCCCAATGAACGATTGGCGTCGGATTAGCAGAAATGGCCGTCTTCAAACGAAGGGACTTGAACTCTTCCAATACCTGAGAGGAAACGTCGCTGTTTCTGATGCGAAAAAAGAAAGTGAGCAAAAAATACCTTCTTGGGCCGTGGTTTCACTATGAACTTCGGTCTGCACATTCGCTGATTTCTTGTTTGTATAGCCTCGCGAATTTCCTCCATAGCTGAAGAAAGTTCTAGGTTATCTTTAATTGAGAGATACAAGCTAGACGATGGAAAATATAGGTCGTTGCGAACAGCTAGAAAGAGGGGTTTCATACAAAACCCGTAGTTGCAGAGGTGAACCTGCATTCCTTGATCGCTTTCTTGGTGACATCCAAAGTCGAGGCTCACTCCTGCTTTATTAGAGCCATTCCGAAAGTACATTAGATTAACGATGACTCACCTAGACTGCCCTTCTGTTCTTCAGTACTCTGTCTGCGCGATTCCTCGTCGATTTTCATTCCTGCCACTATGCTGGCAGCAAGGCCACGAGCATCCATACGAGCCGACCTGGCGCCTTTCTGCTCAGTGTGTCGATGGCGGTGCTCTTAACATACTTGTCGAAATCAGTAACCAATAAAGCTGAGACCTTCAGACGCGACTCACTTCCTTTCAATTTTCCTGCTACTGCAGCTGATGCACCGGCTTCAAGCTCCATGTCTTCGAGGCCTTTTATGAAAAACTGGAGCAGCACCTTTTTTGCGGAACTCCATGCGAACAGCTGAGGCAGACTTCTTCACCTTGAAAAGGAAATTTTAAATAAGAGAACAGGTTTGCGGTTGGAGGCTATCTTACTTCTTCGCGGAAGGCAACTTTTGGCTTGACTTCGATTCCAGGTTCTTCTATTTGCTGGAACTGGGGCGGCTCTGCATGACGAGGCTCACCAACGTTCAACGATGAGGTGGTGCGCACTACGCCATGAACATTCGACGCTTCAACGGCATAACTGCCGAGATCCTTCAAGGCTACTTGTGACACGCGTAGCTCGCACACATTCTCCGATAGGTACGTTATCTGGAATGCCGTGATTTAATGTCAAAGAAGCAGCGTTACCGGGAGCCCTGCGTTAAGACTTCGGGTCGGCACGCCTCGATGAACGACTGAGAGCAAGAGATAAGAGAAACCGGTAAAAAATGAGAAACAGCCATAGTGATTGACCATATTCTAGACAAGGTTTTTCAAGTGGTTTCTCATGCATATCTTGCGCTTCGGTGAAATAACGGATGCAAAACTTCACCCTTTATCTTACCTTGACCGTTTTTCCTTCGACAATCTTCTTGTCTTGGTGGTACCACGTCAAGTCTGGTGCTGGGTAACCTGCCACTTCAACTTCGAAAACCACTTCTTCTCCGAGAGGGGTCCATATATCTCGCAGGCAACGGAGGAATCTTGGTGGTCCGGCACGTTCATCTTTCAGATCTGTAAAATCAATCTTTCAGGTTCGTCTAGCTGGCTAAGCCCTCTGCATGGCCTGAAGCGGAACAGTTTGGTAAACCACCAGCCACAGGCAGAAGCTGGGTTTCCATCAAATGGAACAGCTTCAGAAACTCGATCTCGATTTTGACTGCTTTCAAGAAAGCCATTCCAATTCCAGTTTGGCCATTTCAACACTAATTTCCTTCTTCCATCGTATTTATTAGAAAAAGCCGATGAGAATGGGGTTGCTTACCTCCGATAAGAAGATAACACATTGAACTGGCTTGTCCTAGCTCATTGCTAGCAACGCATTTGTATGTGCCTTGCTGACTCCTTAGCACACAATCTGCCTTGAGCTCGGCCGCCTGGACAAAGAATTTTGCAAAAACAACGAAGATGGCAAAGCTTGTTCAGTGTGAAGTTAAGAAGATATGCAGCAAGTACCTCTCCTCCTCTGCATTCAATCCAGCCATGTGCATCATCAGTCAAGCAGGTGATGTTACCTGCATCGTCAATATAGTACCATTTCAGTTCAGGCTCAGGAACGCCGTGCACCTGCAGAGCATCGATTTCAGAGGTTTTGCAATAGCTGAGCGAGTGGTAGCAGCATTGAGAAATAACCGAAAAATTAAATTGAGCGGTAGAGTGACATCTAAGAAGCTCTACTGTTTCTTTCGCAGGCGCTGTTTGGTTTGGATCTGCGATGTTGTCAAGTAAACCATTGTAGTGCTTTACAGGAAGTTAATGTTTCTACGGGAGGCATCGGCAGTGCAGGAAAACCACAAGGCCGAACTGAGATTGAAAGTGATATAAATACTACCGCATTTAATTCGCTATGCTTGCGTTCATACCTTGCGATTCTCGTACCTAATCTTTTGAGGGGAGTTGCCGAAAACGTCGGATCGATGTGTACTTTCCTTTCAGCGTGATCGCCGAATCGCCAATGTCGCAAGGTATGAACATAGCCTGGATACGTCGAAGCGCGCCGTGTTTGTCGCGAAATTCATAGCGTGGATCGCAGCAACAAAGGGAGCTTGACTCCCAGAAAAGGAGCACTGTGGTGGGCAATTTGTGATAACAACTGATAGGGGCTGATAATGAACATTCAAAAAGCCAATGTCACCAGTTTACTAACACGCACAGCATCAGCGGTGGCTCCTTGCTTCCAGTAAGATAGGGTGTGGGACGGGGATACTAGTGAGGTATGGATAGGTTACAGAAAGTTACAACAACATAATGGGGCTGACTGTCCTCGCACGGCAAAATCCGTTTCATTGCTGACGACTATATAAGATCGGTATACCTCATATATAAGGCTCTCAAACTCCTTGTCCTGGCGATGGGAAGGCATTTGTGCGTAATTCATCTGTCCTTTATATAGGATACGTTTTCCGTGGGATATCACAGACAACTTTATTCCCGCCTTATGCTCGACAAAAAGATGAAAACAACTGTCCAAAAACGAGAACATCCCATCAAAAGTTAAAGTCCAAATGAAATACGCAGCTCTCGCGCATCTTCGGGAACGGAGTGCATATTTAGGAAACCAAAAGCAAAACTAACACTTAGCCATTCATTCCACAACATACCTTACAACCAAGCGTGACAGGATGCCCAGCAACGACACCAGTATCCTTGAGATGCTCTGAGAACGCAGGTTTTTCGGCAGCTGGGAGGGAAGTCTTGCCGCGATCTAAAAACAGTTTAGGACAGAATTACTTTAACGACAAATTTCATTATTTGAAATTGAACCATTCGAAGGTACAACACTCACGAACAAAAACTTGGGTTTCCGACACAGCCTCGCCATGAATGTTATGGGCAATGCAGCTGAAAATGCCGCTCGTTTTCGATACGACGCATTCCACAACTAGGTGGCTCTCGCCATCACCGGTCAAATACGTTTTATACAACCGATTCGTACGAAGCACTTCTCTGCCGTCTTTCTTCCAGGTCAATGTTGGCTTAGGTTCGCCAACAGCCTAAAAGTCTATGTTGCATAGACGTCCAGACAGATGCTAGTAAACCGTGCTTGCGCTCGAGACCCACATTCGGCAAAACAGTAGCTGTACTTCTGAAGCATGAGCGCAGACGTCAGTGGCAGTGTGCACGATGGCTGGAGTTGGCGGTTGTCGCCAAAGTCATTGTTGGAAGGGCTAAGTGGGGTGCAGCCAACTGCCGTCTCACAGCCCCTCTACCAATGACAGTGACCGCCCACCCCCAGCCATTGTTCCAACCGCCTTTGAAATTAAAGAGCCCTACCTTTGCAACGAGCTTAAATTGCCCTCCTTCCTGCGCATCCAAAGTTGATGGTGGTGCTCGGGTGAATCGAGGTACCATGACTTTTTCTTCTTCAGCAATAACCAAATGAGCATCTTTACCAGTTACTTCAGCAACTGTGAGCGTACATTGCGTGGACTCTACTCCACATGTATTCGTTGCTGTGCAAAGATAAATTCCTGCATCTTGTGCTGTACAGTCGTGTATGTGCAGCTCAGACGTTCCTTGTTCGTCAAACTCAAGCCGTACCCGCCGACTGGTCGCTATTCGCTCTCCGTCTTTTGTCCAGACCAAGTCAGGTTCTGGGTGGCCTACTGCACGACAGCTCAACACTAGCTGTTTGCCAGTTAATGTGGTAATATCCTGCAGTTGTTTATCGAACACCGGAGCTGTATGGTCAAGTTCGCTTTTGACGACTGCCTCACACTCGGTTTGAGCCATTCCTTTGTCGTTTGTGAACACACAGCGATAAATTCCAGCGTCAGTCAGGGAGCTATTGTGGCAGACGAGCTTCTGTGAGCCATTTGGAGAGCTGAACAATTCGTAGCGGCCTGTAGGCGAAACTTTGTCGTCATTATGATACCACTTGGTCGTGCCATCTTTGCCCGTAAATCTGCAGCATAAAGTGAACTGCTGCCCTAATTGTACGGTTTCGTTGCTTAGTGGTTTGGCGACGGAAGGAGCTCCCGCGGTAGCCTTGTCGCTTCGGTCTTTGACGGCATCCACAAGCTCAGGCTCTTCCTTGGTGGCAATAATAGTCACAGCAACGTCAGATGAAGCCTGTCCCATCTCATTTTCGATCTGACACGTGTAGGTGGCGTCATCTATACCACTACGGGCTTTAGCTATGGTCAACATCGAACTGGTACTATCAGTAGGTGATGCCGCTATCTGACTCCGCCATCTCTTTCCCGTTTTTATACCATCTGACTGAAGGAGTCGGTGAGCCGCTGAACTTTGCCACAATGCTCAGTTCGTCATCTTCCATCACATCGAACGATGGTGCTGGTAATTCTGTAAATTGCGGCTTTGATCCAGCCGGAAGGGTTCTAACTTTAAAAGGCGAACTGCCTTCACTAAGTCCTTCTGCATTCCTTGCAAGGACTCGGAAAAGATACTCAGTGTTGGGTGAAAGATTCTTGATGGTACACCTTGGTCGCGTAACCGTGGCGACTTCAGTCCACGTCTGTTGATCGGGAGTCCGCTGCTCCACTTTATAATCCTCTAGGTGTGATGCTTGAGCATCTTCGGGTGGATTCCACGGAGTCTTTCGTGCAGTTCTCCTCACAACTGCTCGCCGGCTGATTGCCACAATGCTCAGTTCGTCATCTTCCATCACATCGAACGATGGTGCTGGTAATTCTGTAAATTGCGGCTTTGATCCAGCCGGAAGGGTTCTAACTTTAAAAGGCGAACTGCCTTCACTAAGTCCTTCTGCATTCCTTGCAAGGACTCGGAAAAGATACTCAGTGTTGGGTGAAAGATTCTTGATGGTACACCTTGGTCGCGTAACCGTGGCGACTTCAGTCCACGTCTGTTGATCGGGAGTCCGCTGCTCCACTTTATAATCCTCTAGGTGTGATGCTTGAGCATCTTCGGGTGGATTCCAACTGAATGACACGGAGTCTTTCGTGCAGTTCTCCACAACTAGCTCGCCGCTGATGGGACTAGGCGGCTTTTTCACAATTTTGACCGTAGTTGGAGCGGCTTCACGTCGAGGAGTCACCACAACTTCGCTCTTAGCCGTCGCTTCTCCGAATTCGTCCGTGGCAGTGGCAGTGTACTCTCCTTCGTCTTCAGCCGTGGCATTTGTTATGACAAGTCTGAATGTCAGACCGTCACGCTCCATGCGCACTCTGTCCGTAGGGTTGACTTGACGACCATTTTTGAACCATGTAACTTTCATCGTCGATGAACCACTGATGTCGCAGACGATTGTGAGAGATGAAGACTCGTCAACGACGATCTTGGATTTTGGTGCAATGACGAATGTCGGTGGAGATGGAGCAGCAACCTGCAACAGAATCGGTCATTCAGAAGATGAAAATACAGTAAAGAGGGCGAAAAATCCCATTGAACCGCCCTAAAACCTACTAAAACATCCAAAACATATTGAAACTTCGCGACTCAAGTCATTCAGTCGCGTTGGCAAACGCGCGGCTGCTATCGCTCGCGCTCCACCACTATTCGTTAGGCGGCTGCAACTGCAGATCCAAACCCATTCACAGAGGAACTTTTCGGCTGTTGCAGCGATCCTATGATTACCGATGGAGCGCAGTCGCGCGTCTGAATCACTCAAATCGCGAAGCATGAACGCAGTCTCAAGCTGAAATACCTCGTCAGCGATCTGGTCTAATTGCACCAGAGCAGATGAATGAGAGTCTCCGTGCGGATTAGAAGCTCTCACAGTGTACGTTCCACAGAGTTCTTCCGTTATTGCAAGGATTTCCAGAGTTGAAATGCCATCGTCGAACGACCGAATACGGTAACGAGAGTCGCTCGTTATCAGCGTACCATTGTGAAGCCAATTTAGCGTGATAGGCTGATCACCACGTACTTGACAACTCAGAGAAATGGGGCCGCCGACCTGCATACAAAAAAGTTTATAACCCTCAAATCATTCGATAAACTCATGCAGTTACCTCTTTGACAGTGACATTCTGAAGTTTCTTGATGAAGACAGGGATGTTGGTCACTTGATCCGTGGTATCTTGCTCGACGACTAGCATAGCCCGAGACTCCACAACTCCTAATTTATTCGACACCTGAAAAAAGATCAGTTAAGTGAAACCAGTATAGCACTGCCTGTGTATTCAAAACAGTCACTAGCAACAAGGATACAATCCTGATGGAGAGCATCGCGACTGACAAAAGTAAAAACTTTTAGAAAATACTCAGTACGATGGCTTACCTTGCAAATATACTGCCCTTGATGCTCAGGTTGCGCCTCGTAGATCTTGAGAACCGCCACCTTTCCGTCAAATGTAGTTCGAAGAGTTCTGTTTTCGGTTACCAGTTTTCCATCGTGATACCATTCTATGACAGGCGTTGGAACACCATCCACCTCCAGCTCCAGGAGTTCTCGAGATCCTGAAAACACCGCTTTGAGTGATAATTTTCCAATACTGTTTAACAACGCCTGATGAAAATCAAACCAGCTTTGACACTGGTGTCAACAAGGGGTCGAGTTATAACCGGAGGTCGAGAATCATCAGTTGAATAGCTAACCGACGGAGTGGAAGAACGGCTCGGACTGTGATCTATGGCTCCATCAATCTCGCCTAAACATGCAGTTTCATAGCTCACTAGTTCACATGAGAGGGGACAGATTAGGTAAGGATATAGGACAGAAAGCGCTATACAAATTCGAGCAGTGGGTTATAAGGCGCAGTGTGCAAAACAATCATAATGTGCGAGGCTGGAGGGTGTGGCGATGTTCTGCTTCGTTGCACCTCACAAACGAGTTGTCCTGCTTCGCAGTATCAATTTGAGTTTCGAAAAGAGGTGAAAATTCGATAACGCCCGCATGAAGACTTACCCCCACTTGAACTCATACCATTTTCGCTGTTCCAATAAGTTAACTGACACACATCAAATCGTATTATGCAGCGTTGCCGCGCGGCATGTGCTTCGTAGCACGATATGCCGCGCGCGGCAACGCTGGATATTACGATTTTCTTGTCTGTCTCTCTCTCGGCTTGGTGGGGCACAAAATTATATTCAGCTAAGCCTGCACATTCCACCTTGGAGAAACCTGTGATGTTCTGTAGGTAGATTTGGAACGCCTTATTCTTTTACAGAGTTGACAGGCTTCACCGAGGTATGAATTGTTAGTTAAAGGTAGTTGGCACGATATTTTGTTAATTGGCCTAAAATGCTAGCAGGGCGCCATATAGTGGGGAAAATGGCGAAAAAACGAAGTGAAACGGTCAAAAACCTGCGAAGAAAAACCTTCGTCCTTAATGACAATTTCGGACGAGTTTTCCGTAGACATCTTGCCAATAACCGCTACGGTGGGTACGGCTGCATGTACGTTCCCATATATCCATCTCATATCTCATTCTTATACTTTGCAAATAAAGCAATACGAGCGTCAGGTACGGTCGTCCATTTGTGGCGGGCGGGCGTGGTGGGCGCTCGGGTCGTAATGTTGTAGCTCGATATGGCCCTTCTAAGGGTGCCTCCCTCAGAAAAGGCGCTACGCAGCACCTGCTTAGGGTCGCGGAATCCTGTCCTGCCAGGCGGTATCAGTCCTACTCTTCTTAGAGATTTATCGTGCCAACTGCCTTTACCACGGACTGACAAGAATATTGGCTTGTGCAAGATGGCACCCCCCCCCCGCCAAAACCAAACAGCGCCGGCGATTAATATAGCGTAAATTTTCAAAACTATGAAAAGGTATCCAATCACGGCAATATCGGAATAGGGGACGACTGAACGACTAACCAGTTACTTTCACACGGCATTCCGTCATGTCCTTGCCTAAGGCGTTGACGACCTCACATGAGTAGTCACCGGAATCTCCGAGAACACAATTCATTATGTTCAGTCTTGCAACTCCCTTTCTATCACAGTACTGCAGCATGCGATTCTCCACAACTAACTTTTGCCCGTCTTTGTACCTGGAAGGAACACCTCGAGGATATCTCCGAATAGAAGCCCCTAAATAAAATCTGAAGATTTATACCAGGTGATAGTGGGCGTTGGTTTGCCTTTGAAGCAACACTCCAGAAGAATTTCTTCACTTTGCTGTACAGTCTGATCCATCAACAGCTCGACAAATTTAGGAGCAGATTTGTCATTTTCAAGTGATGCTGCATAGTAAAACAATTGTATTAAAGTTAGTGGTTGAAGAGTCACTGCATTGATTGGTCTAAGACTTACAGGTGACGGTCACAACAGTCTCTGATCGTGCTTTGCCATTAATATTTTCTGCCTCACACGTGTAGTTGCCACTGTCTGCTACGACCGCAGATGGGATGGTTAGGGTGCAAACGCCATTATCATAAGTTGCGTCTTTGTCGGCCAACGACAACCTGTGATGAGTATTGTGAGTAACGCCCCGAAAAGGAAATTGCGTGGCATCAAGCAAGTTACTATTACAGTCAGCCGAAACTTCGTACTGGACAATTGGACAGAGCTTTTTCAGATAGGCGCTCACAAGAGTGCGTTCATACCTTGCGGCAGCGGTTCGAGCGTCTACCAGCGTTTTTAGCGACATTCGCTACCTATACGTTCTTAGTCGTTCAAGACTCTCAAGATGCTGTGGACGCTCAAAACGCCGACAGAAGCTTAAACGCTGCCGTGAATTATGAACGCTTTCTTATTCTAAGACTTTACTTGGGACGGGAACAAGAGCTAAAGAGGATTTGCGGGCAGAACTCTGATTTTATTGAATGCACAAGACACCAAGGGAGCACACAGTAATCTTCCGACAGAAAGTCGTCCGAGGAATACTGTGGGAATACTGTGTTAGTAAGACCAGAAATCAACACAACAATGTCGCTCGTAAACGAAATGGGGGAGGTCAGCTACTTGTTACCCATACCCCTGACGTTCCTAAGGGAGTGTTCTAAAATCGAAATTGGGAGCTGGACGACGACGAGTGTGCTAGGGTTTTCAAACTCGCGAAGGGCAGAGATGATGTAGTGGTGAATGGGTGCGCTAACCATGCACACGGTTCCAAGGTAAAATCGTATTCGACCAAAACAAGCTTCCAGAGTGACTAAGTGGCGTAAGATTTGTTCAGGAGGATAAAACGCTGGCACGTAATCTCCCCACAGCCACCGAAAAGGCCAAATAGCAGTCAAAAATGCACTCCGAATGAAACTACAGTCTTGTTCGCTGCAGATGCTAAGTCGTGAAAGGGAGGAATGTTCTGCGACAAGCCAGCCCGTTTTTACCAATTGCGGAAGCTGGCAAGTGGGAAATGCACTAGCGCTGTGCCAAATTCAGCCCCCTCCACCCTCCTGACACGGCCCAGTACTGCAGCGAATAACGCTATAGTATGCGTGGTGCTTCCTAATGAGCGATTTTTCAACATAGGTTGACGACAGCATCCTACCTTTTACCATCCTTCAACCAAGTGATCTTCGGATGAGGAGTACCAGTGACGACGCATGTAAGGATCAATTCGGTTCCCTCCGGTACCTGAAAATGAAGAACATGCTTGCATTCAGCACTGCAATCCCAAAAACCTTCCAGGATTGTCAGTAGTGCAAAATACATCTGGAAGAAACTCACTTCACGTGGATTCACCAGATGCATGCTGAACTTGGGGGCCTTCGATTCATCGATTTTCTTGCTTCGTTTCTCCTCCGGTTCCTCTATGCGAACGAAGCAGACACTTTCAGCTTCACCAATCGAATTTCGTGCAAGACATCTGCAACATTGAAGATGCCTCCAAAGTGAGGAAAGAGAGAGAAGTTAGGATGATGTGAAAAAAGCGAAGTTTCGAAGAATTAAAACTGGGTTGAAGAGACAACAAAAGGCTTTCATCGCAAGAGGCTTCGAAGATCCTGAATTCATTCCAAAAAGTTTACAAATATACTCATTTCTTTGAGAAATTTGATGCTCCGCATCTTGCTCAACGGTCTGAACACCCTGCCTCCGCTGGTATGAACAAGTTACAGTCTTGTTTGATGCGGACGCTGTGGCGTCTCAAGGCGGTTGGGTTTGGCGCAGCGCCACCCGGTTTTTTACCAGTTGTAGAAGCTGACAGCCGACTACAGCTGGTGGAGAACAGGATGGCAGCCCCCCCCCACTGCTCAAAGTTTTACAAGACTGTATCCCTATGAGAGCTCCGCATTGAATTATTGAGTCTACACTCCAAGACACGACGCTCCTGTACGGGTAGCTACTTCATACCAGAAGAGGCAGGATCCAGATCGCTGAGCAGGATAGGCAACACCAAAATTTTTCAATAAAGAAATAATTCCGCAAACACTTTTGGACTGCATTCTGGCCTTTCTCGTGCCCTTTCATGTTTCCTTAGTTAGTTGCTGTAGAGTCTGCGGGGTACTACAAAGTTATGATTTACTTGTATTCTCCACTATCCTCTGCATAGGCTTTCACGATAGTGAGGGAATACTCCTTCGTATCATCATCAAACTGCAGCCGATGATTCAGAGAATGCTGAAGCTCCTTGTCGTTACAATACCTAAAAAATAATTCATCGCCATTATTGCGGAGTGAAAACAACAATGTTGTCTAACTTACCATGTAATCTCAGGCGGCGGATTGGCTAAGATCTTAACTGGTAGCGTTAGCAACTCCATTTCTTCACAGCTAATGTCTTCTAGGGCCTTTTCGAATACAGGAGCCATCAGGCCATCGGGGACCTTCACTATGACATCACACGAGCTTTCGCATTGCCCCAACATGTTTCGCCCGATGACTTTCCATTTGCCTGCAATTTTTGCGCTTTCCGGGCGTCAGCAATGCGATCAGGAATTTGGAAAGTGTGTAGACTAGCAATTTGCAAAACAATGCTTACCTCCATCACTCAAGGTGGCTCTGTCGACATATAGCTCATAGCGATTCTCTACGTGCTTCTGCACATATTGAGCATCATTCTCACTTATGGGCTCTTCATTGTGGAACCATTCGACTGTCAGTTCAGGAGTGGGAACGCTTGTCACGGAAAGGATAAGCTGTTCACCCAGTATGACAGTGCTATCCACCAAACCAGGTTTGAATGATGGTTTCGACTTTACAACCGTGGGTTCTTCGGCCACCTAAACGTAAGTCGATTCGTAGAAGTTCACATAAAAACATTCGATTTCCTACTATTTTGATGAAAACAAAAACACTGAACAGGTTTTATAATGCTCCAATTCTAATTTAAAAGCCACTAGCATCATAGTAGAGCTGCTTACATCTAATTTTATCTTTAATATTGCGCATCTTCCAGGTATAGCTTTTGCGCTAAAATCGAGGTCCCGCAGCGAAACACGCACTCAGCGGTAGAGAGCAATCAGAAATGAGATGGCGCAGATAAGAAGCGCGATGGGCTGTGGTTAGGCGTGTTATGGCTGGCCGTGACGCAGCAAAGGTGGAGTGCAGAAACGGGGCAACACTAACCAATAGCCTAGTTCCCGTGCACCATTCACCTTTTGACAACCCTCAGCCCTGTGGTCCACTCCCCCCTTCTCGGCCCACTCCCACTGCGGCACACAGACTTTGCGAAGACGCGCGTCGCTGCTACCGTTGCAGCGGCACCCCAATGCTATAAACAAGAACGCAATACACGTCTATGCCTGCGGCGTGACAGCGCGTCAACGCGCGACATCGCATCTGGTCGCTGCCTCACAGATCCTAATTATAAAAAAAACTTACCTTTGCAGCGCTCCTCTTCTGTAGTTCGGCTGGAGATGTCTTGGATTCTCGGACTCCAACGATCAATTTCCCTTCTGTGGACACCGAGCCGAGCTCATTTGTAGCCCGACAACGATACACTCCAGCATCAGACTGCTCGATGTTCTTCACCGTCAACTGTGCCAAACCATCGTCGAATTGCGAGTCATACTTGATGGACGGTATTTCGAGCTGCTTCTCGTCTTTGTACCAGGTAATTCGTGGCAGTGGAGAGCCATCCATCTCACAGGTTAGTGCCGCAATCAGGTCTCCTACATATGCGACGATATCCTCAAGTTGTTTCTTCACATGTGGAGGATAATCAGCATCTGAATTTGTAATTATAATCAACACTGCAACCAAAGAAAGTTAGCTAGATTGGATCAGAAAGTGAAACAAGACAAACCAAAGCTGATATTCCTTTCGAACACGCCATCCATTGATTGCTGCCTGAAGATGGCACCACGTTTCGCCAAGCGACCGATCGGCAAGAGATCGTCGGACCATCTTCTGAGTGCCATGAATTTCTTTTTCTGCTGCGGAGTTAACTGACCACGAGATTTTCTTGCCTTCGGCGTCTTCTGAAAACGAAAGAGCCGTTGATTATTGTTTCCTCACTGATTGCCCACATGGATGAAATTTTGTAAATATTTCCGCGAATACTTGTGCACATATAGGTTACCGCCCATACAGTGGAGGTGGAGAGAGCGTAGCTGGGCTCCACACTTGAACAAGGAGTAGGAGGAGTTTGTCGTGGAATCTCTCCATATGAGACAACTGATACCCTATGCTGAGCTGGACAAAGACCTAATTACAAAGTTCCCAGAAGGGCAATATCCAACCGGAAGCGCAGCCGCTACCACATTCGAATAAAGTCCCCAGCTACGCTCCCTCCAGTCCCAGGACATGGAGTGTATTAGGCAAACGAGTTTCAACGAGTCCTTGCAATACTGGAACGTTCTAGAAAATTCTCATGAATTGAAATAACAGACTGATGATTCCATTATTCTGCGACCAGCACTCTATAAGCTAAGGCTATGCACTATAGTTCCTAACGAGAACCGCTTCATCGCTCTCAGACAATTACGGTGCAATCAGACGACTGATTCCACAATTTCGATTGGCCGAGAGGTCTACCGTTTCCGCGCATTTGAGGTAAACCAACTACGAAAATTCAAAGAAATGCAAAACCGACACATAAAATACTCACAACAATCCACGGGTGTTGAAGAGCTTGTTTTACTGTCATACGACGGCGCTTGTCCTTACACATAAGACGACAAATGAAATCCTACAAGCACTTCTTTTAGATAGAAAATGAAGTACAAAAACACAACAGTCTGCTCACTTTAGCGGCATCAGACACATCGTCAAAAACGGGATCGTCAAAGCCCCAGTCAGCTGCCGACACGTTGGCCAGTGTCTCTTCATCGGTGTCTCCAAGGAATGGTGATAGTCCAGATAACCTGAGTATCGAGTATAAAAAAGGAGATCGTTAAGCGATCCAGCATTCATTTTTTCCATAGGAAAAAAGCAACTGACAAATTGGAGAGGGCACACGACAAACTAACTAGAAAACTATTTATTAGGGCTCTCAGGTTTACTTTTAGGAGTATTCTTCACGGATCAGAAATGGAATTTCTAAGGTAAACCTGCTATATTTGAGAACGCGAGAAATGACATTTTCATTCTGTAATGCTTACGGAATGAGTGAGTTGACTCGAGACGGACAAAACAATGGTATCTCGCCGCACCGTCGCGCGCGGCGCATTGTGCGGTGGCGCGCGGTAAGTTCGTGATGTGCATCACTTTGTCGGTTGGAGCAGCAAAACCCACGTGAACTCAAGTAGAGGCAAGACTACATGCCTGTGGTATTGATCTCTTTCGCCCTTTAGGCAGCGTTCAGACTTCGCGACGGCAGCGCTTCGGTCGCGCGATTCGACGATCGATGCGCATGCTTTCGACTGCATCGATCGCGTCAACGCGCGACCGAAGCGCTGCCGTCGCGAAGTCTGAGCGCTGCCTTACCATTCATATTCGGGCTGGAAAACTTGCCTCCCGCGTTTCGCTCCCTACGTCTAGTGATTCATATTACAAATGTCCCGTCACATACCCGAGTTGAGCTCTCAAACTTTTCGAACAGTTATTATCCAGAACCAGACGGGGTGTGTTCAAACTTCTTTCGACACCCTCGTTCGTGGTTCTCGCGCAGGTTTTCACGTTTTGAGCAGGAACTGAGTAGCTATGAACAAGCAGGACTGTTCAAAAATCGGTGTCTTCCTCCAGATTCAGGAAGGCTCTGTCTCGCTACCTGGTTGGTGTCGGATAGCGGAAAACGTGATTAAAAAAGGATATACTCACAGCACATAGGTGATCACTCCGACACTCCACATGTCAGTACTGAAGCCGACTGGTTCGTAGTTCACAACTTCAGGTGCACAGAATTCTGGTGTTCCAAAGAGAAGCTTCACTGTTTTCTTAGGGTCGAGCTTTCGAGACAGTCCAAAATCGACAAGTTTCAAGTCGGTGGAATTCTTCGATTTGAAGCAGGATGTTTTCAGGCTGAAATCAAACCTTATTATGATACCAAACAAGCGAATTAGACAAGTCCCATGCTTTTACCTTCAGATCTAAGTGCACGATTTGATTGCTATGCATGTGCTCCAATCCTTGGAGAATTTGACGCATGTAGTCTTTTGCTTCATCCTCACTCATCAACATGTCGTCTTCAATAATTTTGTCAAGAAGTTCTCCTCCGGACACACTGAAGTGAACTATGTTATTCTTGAAAATATGTCCAGTTAAAAGTCTTTCACTCACAATTCTTCAATGAGACACATCTCATTGCCGAGATCAAACGCTTCATGTAGATTGAGCAATTTATCGTGATGTAGCTGATTCATTATGGAAATCTCGTGAAGCACATCTTCTTTCTTCACTCCAGGACGCACCTGAATTAGAATCCGTTTCAAGTCTGCTAACGAAAAGCTAAAAATTAACTATTACTATTGAATCATTACCACAATAGATAAATTTTAGCCAAATCAGATCATCACCCTCCCAGAAAGGAAGTAATTAAATCATACCTGCACCATTTTCGCTGCCCATATCTTTCCGGTGGACTTCTCTATTGCTCTATACACAGTGCCATAAGCGCCTTGCCCAAGTTCTTCGCAAATAATGTACTGAAAAATGCACATAGCTAAGTCAGTAATGCAGCACGATTGATACCTTTACATACTTTATCAAGAAGATCATTTGGTAGATGGCGAACATCGATTTCTTTCTGTTGCGTTGGATCAATTTCGGAGTCGAATTTCTCGTAGTCGACGGGTACGGAAACCTCTTCATCGGCAATCTTTTGTATGGCTTCATCGACTTTGGGCTCCTAAAAACGGTCTTTTCCAAGCCTACCAATCGAAGCAAAAAGCACATATACCCGCGTAAATGCAATTTCTACAAACCGTATTCAATACACATAATACTTCACTGTTACCGGCCATCACCTGAAACACTTGTTCTCACTCACCGCGGTGTGGGCCGTTAGTTCCCATTTGCAAGATCTCGGACTAGCGCAGTATTTAATGGCTAGTCGACTAGATTTTCAGATGCAGATGCAGAGAGAGAGAGAGAGCTACTCGACTCGACAGACACAGACGCAAAGGCGGTGTGAGAGTCGCCGTGCAGCAGCACTGCTACCTCGAGTGGACCCTTAGGTCCTGGTGCGAATACTGCATGCGTCACTGCTTGCTACGCCGCTTGTTGCGACTGAGCAGTTTCTTGAAAGGGATATGAAATGGTAGCCAATGATGGGAGGGTTTCCATAAGATATGCGTGCAGTCTTGTTCTTGCTGCGGATGAGAGGACATGTCAGGCGGGATGGATGTAGCGCAGCGCCAGACTCGTTTTCCACCAGGTATTGAAGAGCGGGTGAGCGACATCAGTTGGTGTAAAAGGACTTATTCGAACAATGCGATAGAATCTTGCCGCTTACACGCAAAAATTGGTAGAAATTGTCAATGACGTCTAAAGGAACGTTGTCAGTGTTCTGAGTGACGTCAATGACACCTCATCTGCTGCCCCTTGAAAGGTAACATTCGGAACCGCGTGCTAGATCAGCGCTAAAGATGCAAGTAGCGACTATATAAAGTAGGGAACATAGAAGCATGTGAACGAGGGCCAACGGAACCTAATGTCAGACGGGCGAGCAACGTTCTTGGCAACAGGAAAGTGTGAATGTTCAGCTACCACTCACCTTCAGGCTGAATGGTTCAGATTCTTCAGAGAATTCTGATTCTCCCAGACTGTTTGCTGCTTTCACACGGAAAATGTACAGCTCTCCAGGCACAAGGTTGAAAAGTGTGGTAGTGGCCTGCTTGGTTGTTTCTGCCTTTTTCCATTTTTTATTCGCAGCCTAAAGTGGAACAAAAATGTAATGTAGAGGACTTGAAACGGGTCATGAGAAGGGAACCTACAGTGCACATTTCAACTGTGAACTGTTGAATCGCGGAGCCACCATCCTTTTTGGGTTCTGTCCAAGTTAATACGACTGAATCAGCTGTATTCTGCTTGACAGTTGGTTTTCCCGGAGTATCGGGACGTCCTTGTACCTGAAAAACAACACCGGCACTAGGTAATCTGTAGAGCAAAATTAGCAGAACACTTCAGTTGTCATACCTGGATAGTGATGGGCAGGGAGTCTTCGCCGCTAGTGTTCTTGATCTTGAGGACGTATTGCCCGGCATCAGAGGAACCTACTCCCTTTATCGTGAGTTCACTGCTTACTTCAGTGGTTTTTATCTGAATCAAATAGCAATAAATGTAAGAAAAACCACAAAAAGGTAGAAAACCCGCAATTCACCTTATACTTCTTCGAATCCTTTATTGGTTTGCCTGCACTATCAAGCCATTCTGCGCTTGGAGCTGGTTTACCTGGAACTTTCAGATTCGTGTAAGTAAAAACAGTCAGATTCGGCCACAGTACGTCGTAAAGGGAAAAGTCTTGTCGCTTTCGTAATCATTGCGTTATTATTCGAAAGGAGGGGGCAGGCAGACACAGGGCGGCTGGTAACGCAATAATAAGTGCAATTAGCTGCGCACATGCAGTGGCGGCAGAGGACCGCTGTGGAAGTTCGCAATTCGCCAACAGAGCCTCGCTAAAAAATTGCAAGCCCCGCAGACAAATACCCTTCATTTGGTCTTTGGATAGCAAAAACTCAAACGGTGCCCTCTGAAAGAGTAGTATCTGGCTGCTTACTGCTGTTTAGTAGCCCCATATTCGCATACGCGGTCTCCATCCTTAACTCCATTACTCAGTAGTTACCTACCTTTGAATGACAACGTGATGGTAGCGTCTTTTCCTTCAGGGACGACGAGAAGTGTTTTCACAGCCTCTCGAGCGATTTCTGGTGGAACATCAGCTGTTATAGGAGCGGACTCGATGAAAGATCCCGTTCCAACAGCGTTTTCAGCAGCTACTCGGAAGCGATGCGAAGTAGCATCGCCAACGTTGTCTAAAGATGAACATTATTATCCTTACTCAATTCGCTTCTTCATCAAATAAAAGAATTCTAACGGATTTAATATGACCGTCAAAGTTAAGCAAAATTAGTTTGCCTCATCCCGCAAAATGCTAAGACTGTGTTTACACTTTGCGACAGCGTCTACCAGCGTACAGCAGTATTTTCGTGGGCATTTGCTCAAATTTAAAAGTGCCCGCGAAAACGCTGCTGTGTGCTGGTCTACGATGACGCAAAGTATGAACGCAGCCTTACGGTATGGTGAAACAAGTGACAGAAGGAATAAACTAGAAGAAAGACTAGGCAAAATGATCCCCATGAATTTTGCAAAACGTTTGGGAAGTCTCCATTCCTGAGGATTGGGTAGGCAATGATAAAAGTGAACTGCGGTCAGAATCCGCACGCTCAACACAAAGAGTGTTGGACGTAGTTCCGCTTGGAGGGGGCAGTCCGCTGACGCCCACGACCACACCCGACGCCTCCTGTAGAAGCCTGTCATATCCTTTGAAGCTATGCAATAGCAGCAGCATCATATCGACTTGACAGGAGTCTGCAGGTCTCACCATGGTAAGTCGTGTGATACAACAGGATATAACAACAGTAACTAGCGATATTGCAGTATGCTCTCCCCTAAGCCGACTAGTGCCGCGTATTGCGACTAGAATTTATGTAAAGTGACTGAGAAAGTGAAAATGAGTTCTCACCTATAGTATAGTTGTTATCCTTGGACCGGGCTACAAATGCCCACTTCTTTGTCTTCTCATCGTATTTTTCTAAGTAGAAGCCAAGTAGCGGCGAGTGGCCATCATCTTTTGGAGGTTTCCATGATAATTTGCATGATTTGCCAACTATCGACGCTTGAAGAGGACCTTCTGGTGCGGCCGGAGGGGCTGAAAAACAGGGATTGCTCTACTGATCATTCCCTAACAATGAACATTGGAAACCTACATTTGACGACAAGCTCGATATTCGCTGAAGTGGCTCCGTCAACGTTGGATGCCGTGACGGTGTATACTCCACTGTGGGAAGGTTCCACTCCTTTGATGGAGAGTTGAGCTGTGCCATCTTTGTAGAACGTGGTAACATTTTTGGATGCCTGGAGGAAAATTGTTAAATTTAAATTTACCTAGGGAATAGGCACGAAAATACCACGAAGGATTTCCGAAGTAGGTGACAAGACAATCGTCATAGGTCGCGCTGGCGTTCGTGGTCACACTGTCACGCCTGGCGGACGAGTTGTCCTGCCTGGTGTGGTGAACTTAGTAGAAGACAGAAAAAAAATTGCAACTGCCCGTCATAGATTCTTATCCCTTTTTGAATCTATAAGAGGTTCGCAGTTGAAATCCATAAATTAGAGAAATTCGCCGAGCATGGCCCAACAGCACACAGCATGGACTATGCGACAAATAACGGTTGTCTTGACCGTCTTCCTTCATTCTGATTAAACGTACAGTCGCGGAAAACTTATGAAAATAAACTTGGCCCTCCCACAGTGTGTCGCAGCGAACAACTACGGGTAACCATCTGGGATAAAACGAAAAGGACCATCAAGGGATTCCATCTGCACACATAAAAGAACGGGCAAGTCGACTATTGCAGTATTAAAAACTTCTATATGTTCTGATAGCCAATTTCGTGCTCTATAACACTGCGTTGCAGTTATTTTGAAAATCCGTTTGATGAACCTTGTTTTTCAGGTGGATAATATGGAATGTCAGGTCGATAAGCATCAGCACTTCAGACATCTCCTCCTTTTCGCATTCAACAGAGGTATCAGAGCTGCTGATGCTGCTCGGGAAATTCGCTAAGAGCTGTCCTAACACTAATCTGTTACTCTAAGCCTTACTCAAACCATGGCGATTCTATTGAGCTGCTCTAGGAGCTTTGAAGCTTCAGTGGACAGCGGTTGAGAGAGGAAGTCGGGAACGCTAATTCTCATCGACCTCACGTTCCGTAATGATAACCTGAACTTAACAGAAAGTAAACAGCTCTGGAGAACAGATTTCTATAGCAGTGTTATAGAGCACGAAATTTGCTATCAGAACATGCAAAACATATCAGCGAAACATTCAAATATTAGCATAAAATTTCAGGTGGAACAGACGTGAGCTGCCCAATATCGGCGAGGTGAAGGTTGGTAACTTCAAAATTCTTGAAATTCGTTCCAAAGCGTCCTAGTGAGATTCCCTTGCTGGAACTTCTAGCTCGACCTTTTCCAAATGTATGGAGCAGCTTAAGCGATTTTAGCACTTCGACTATACGTAAATAGAGGCAGTTGTCGAAGGTGCTAATTTTCGCCGACTTCGCTTTCAACTTCAACGACTAAAAAATCCACAAAAATTATTCCCTCAACCGAAGCCGTTTTGATATTCTAAAACTACGTGAAGTTTCCTATCAGATGATATCAAGCTTGCTAGCAAAACATTTCATCTTTGGAACGAAATTTCCGGTTGAAAAAAAACGAAAGTACTTATGTGCCAACCCAATAGTATGCCGATCTCTAGCGCGAAGCCTTCCTAGGGGCATGCAAAGAAAAGCTTTGTGAAATGGGGAATGAAAAAAAAATGCATTTTTTTTCTTTACATGGGTGCAGTTCAGCACAGGAGTTGCGGAGACTATGGTGCATTCGCACCAGGACCCATACAAGGTGACATGTTGCGGTGCGTCAAGTCATCTAACTGGGAAATACTCCTGTTACTTTCACGCGATGCCGCGACTAGGGAAGCGATCGTTTGCATCACCTGCATGTGATGTTTTGGGCGTTTAATGACACGAGTCATTACACCAAACTAATAGGAGAGGCGTAATTCCCCGAAGTCTTCAATGAGCTTTCCTATCTAGTGAATGCTTTGTCTGATGAGTCATGATACGTATGCTGTAATGAAATCGCGCCAAACGGCTTACCCTCGGTTGCGGATGTCCTGAACTACATAGATTTCGTCCAAGAAATTGGTTAACTTTTAGGAACCCCTTATTTCCCAGGCCTAAGCAAAAATTCTCGGATCCTGTCTCCTTCATCTCTGTTTTGTACAGAGAACCCTTTGAGACCCTGTCAACCTGACCGACTCGCACCAACAGAAGTTCGGGAAATATTGATGAGTGACATTCATCACATCGCAGTTCAGAAAGAAAACTCGTTCGTGGTACGAATGGGCTCCAGAAAGAAGATGAGGCACTACTGGTTAGGTAGTAGTAGGTTTGAACGCAT